CGACCTGGCCGTCCTGCATAAGGACACATCCCAAGCCCTGTCTCGAAGCATCGCTGAAGATAGTGAAACTCCAAGAAGGATCGAGAATAGTCAACACCGGTGCTGAAGTTAGTCTCCTCTTGAGCTCCTGAAAGCTCGCCTCACATCGTTCAGTCCATTCAAACTTCACAGACTTCCTCGTCAGCTGGGATAGAGGGAGGGCGATCTTGGAAAAGCCCTCGATGAACCTGCGATAGTAACCAGCTAAACCGAGAAAACTGCGAACCTCGGACGGACTCCTCGGTGTCGACCAGTTCTGAACGGCTGAGACCTTGGAAGGATCCACCTCGATACCTGCCTGAGTAATCACATGACCCAGAAAGGATACTCGCTGGAGCCAGAACTCGCATTTGGAGAATTTGGCGTACAACTTTTCTCGTCTGAGGGTTTCGAGAACCACCCTCAGATGCTCCTCGTGCTCCTTCTGGCTCTTCGAGTAGATCAGAATATTGTCAATAAAGACAATAACAAACTGATCGAGGTAGGGATGGAAAATACGGTTCATGAGGTCCATGAAAACAGCTGGCGCATTGCTGAGACCGAAAGGCATGACGACGAACTCGTAATGGCCGTAACGAGTCCTGAAAGCGGTCTTAGCGATATCTGACTCCTTAATCTTCAGCTGGTGGTAGCCTGATCGTAAGTCAATCTTCGAGAACACACAGGCTCCCCTCAACTGATCAAATAAGTCGTCGATCCTGGGAAGCGGATACTTGTTCTTGATCGTCAACCGGTTAAGATCCCGGTAATCGATACACATGCGCATGGATCCGTCCTTCTTCTTAACAAAGAGAACGGGTGCTCCCCACGGTGACATGCTCGGTCGGATGAAACCGAGTCATAACAACTCCTGAATCTGCGTCTTAAGCTCCTGCAACTCCTTAGGCGCCATACGATATGGGGCTTTGGACACTGGACCGGCCCCTGGAATAAGATCGATAGAGAACTCCACCTGCCGGTTAGGCGGTCCTCCTGGAAGCTCGTCTGGGAACACGTCCACAAACTCGCGAACGATTGGAACATCATGAGGTGTTCGCGCTTTCTGAGAATTGTCGACAAGGCTCACCAGATAACCCTGGCAGTTGCCTCGTCGCAGTAGCTTAGTGGCTTTTGCCATCGAAACAACCTGAGGCAGTGAACAATTCCTGGAACCGAAGAAAGTGATCGATTCGTCTCCCGGAAGATAGAGAGTGATCTCCCGGTCATGGCACCTGATGTCTGCATGATAGAAGGATAGCCAATCCAGTCCAAGAATAAGGTCGAAATCCCTCATCTCGAGAACAAACGCGTCGGCCGTCAATACTCGGCCACCGATGGAAAGGCTAAGATCTGAGGCTTTAGCTGAGGTCACTATCTTTCGTCCCGAGGCTAAACTCACCTCGACAGGATCGACAGCGATAACGGCGTGAACTCCGATGGCATCGAGACATCGTCGTGAAATGAAAGTATGTGTCGCTCCAGTATCGAATAAAGCAAACACAAGAATTTCGTTGAGAACAACCATCCCTGACATAGTACCTGGCTGCTGTGCTGCCTCTGCCTGATCAACCGCGTAAACCCTGGCCTGCTGTTTGCCCCTCTGCTGCTGCTGCTGAGGCGGCCTCTGTGCCTGCTGACGTGGCTGCTGCTGTTGTGGTGGCTGCTGAGGCTGATGCTGGAGTCTCTTCGGACAACGACTCGCAAAATGTCCCAGCTCGTGACAGTAGTAGCAGATATCCTGTCCCACATGGCACTCTCCCCTGTGAAGTCGCCCACAAGTCGGGCACGGTGGAATCGGCTACTGTTTCTGTCGGGTCCTCTGGTCAGTCTGTGCACCCTTCCCCTTCCTCTTCTTCTCCTTTGTCGGCTGAGGGGCTGGTAGAGCTGGTGGAGCTGCGAATGGCTGAACTGGGGCAGATGGCTGAGCACGATCACGAACTGCCTCCCTCCTGATGCTAGCGTCCACCTCCTGGGTGATAGAAACTGCACGAGCGTAGGTCTGAGTCTCGTGTCCCACGATGTTGTGACGGACTGCTGGGAAAAGCCCGTCGATGAACCGCTGCGCTCTCTGAGCCTCCGTGCGAACCAGATCCGGTACGAAAGCTGCAAGTCTAGTAAACTCTCGCTCGTACTCATCAACTGTACGAGTGCCCTGCTGAAGCGCTAAGAACTGACGCTCCATCTCTGCCCGATAGTAGGAAGGGTAGTACTTTTCGCGGACTAGATCCTTGAACATTTCCCACGTACAACCCGCTTTTTCACCGGGACGCATGCTCCAGTAGGCATTCCACCAGAGCCTTGCATCACCAGTGAGATGAAGCTGAGCGCAAACTACGCGATACCTATCGGGGCATTCCATAACCTCAAAGATAAACTCTAAGCCCTGAATCCATTCATCAACAATGCGGGGATCTCCCTGCCCTGAGAACTTTTCAGCGTGATAGTTGCGGAACTGAGCGACTACCGTAGCCTGAGTAGGAGCCTGATGATCGGGTTCCCTACGTGGCGGCATCTGAACATTGAGAAAATTTAACATTACTGAATACGTGATAACATTCTTACTGATTACTAAGGCACACAAATCTCTTGACGAGTCGCCAAAAGTGGCCGATAATTACTGACGTGAATCCTGAGGAACTATAGAGTCATATAGGAAGATCCTAATGTCTAGAGTCATATCTGAATGCCTAAATTCTAGAACTCTAAAGTCTGAACCTGATTCGAGCATCTTAACTAAAGTCCTGATCCTTAATTCTGAGCATAGACAAAGTAATATGTTTATAACTGAAAAACTGAATCAGCACT